ATAAATAAGTTTAAAACTACCCTATTTTAAAAAATAAGATTAAAAAGTACCTTATTTAGGGAAAAAAACTCCACATTTCGGTCCGTGCGAAACACGTAAAACATTGATGTGGGAAGTGATGTTCAACTAGCACCTAGGACATAAAAATACATAATTTAATCGTGTGAATTTTTTTTAAGATAAAAAATTTGAGATTTTTATTTATTTATTTGGTTATTGTAAAATGAAAAAAAAAACTCCTACTATATAGTACAAAACTTATGAACCTCTTGACAAAAAAAAAAAAAAACATGTGGGTAGTGTTTTGTAATGAATTGGGCACTTGCACTATTAATTCAAATTTTTATCTTATTTATTACTCTTTAGGTCTCAAATTGATATTCTATTTTAACTTTTCATACCTTTTGAAAAACTTATTAATTATAATATTATTATAATATTTTTTAATACTATTTTCTTAAAATATTAGTTTTTATTTAAGAATAAAATCTATCTAATTTAATTTAGTATTACAAAATAGAAGTATTTTAAAAAGTATAATATTAAATTTTTTGACGAGACTAGCATTTTAGAAAGATAGATAATTTTTTTGAAATCATTGGAGTTAAAAAAGTAATTTGTAGACATCTATTAAGAAATTATTTTATAACCTCAACATATATATATGGTTTATCTATTAAAAATAATTTATCAAAATCTTTCATTTTTAGTGTTTAAATATTTCAAAACGTTTATTTTTGGTCTTTAAACTTTTTTTTTTACAATTTAATTCTTTATTTATAGTTTTTTGGTCCTCATAGTTTTCATAAAAATATTTAATCTTTATGTTATAAAATATGTGCAATTCAACCTTTGTATGTTAACTTTTTTTTTTTTTCCTAAAAACATTAATGAATATTAATAAAATATAAAGTAGTCACTAGTGACATTCTTGCAGTTCATATAGGATTCAAATCGAGCTACACATAGAGAACCATCCACGGTGCCAGAGGAGTTGTTGAGCAAGGTCAATAGGAAAGGTGCATCTAGATCGAGTATTGCATGATAAATGTATTCCTAAACTGTCAAATTTCCAATTGAAAATGTTGAACTATTATTAAATTATTTATATGGGAAATAGTTAGTATTGCTTTTCTTTTTGATGACATTTTTTAACTTTTTTCTTTATTTTGAAATGCTTCCTGTCATCATGCAACGCGAAACGACAATAGGGTTGCTCATGCCATGCAAACTCTCCAATCCTGCAATTCGTAAGTGGGTTTGGTGTCATAACCCAATTTTGGATTCCTTTAAAGAAAAAAACAAAAACAAAAATATAAAAAATATAAAAAAATATAAAAAAGGAAAAAATATTAAAAAAATATTAAATCTCCCTAAAATCATTCAAAAATCTATTGAAATCTTTCACAAATCTTTTTGAATTGGAATCTCCTTATTTTTAGCTAATCAAATCTCAAAATTAAGATTTGACAATTAAAATTTGAATTTGAATTGATTTTAGGAGAAATTTTAGGAGGTTTCGGCCTATAAAAAGCTTTCGGATTCCAATTTGCGGGGGGACACAAAAAAATAAAAAAGCAACTAGAAAGCAAAAAAAAAAAAACACACAAAAAATATATACCGAAAACCGAAAAACAAATTGCCAAACACACCTTAACCCAATATCCAAACCCGATTACCCGTTCACCCGATCGAAATTTTCACTCTCAATCCGACCATTTTTCGATCGAGTTTTGACCCCAACCACCATAGTCACGTATAGCCCATCACAAGATCGATCCATCAACACCGGTTAGAGAGAGAAACAATCACGAAGGAGAGAGAAATCAAAGATGAAAGGTCCACGACCCGACCCGAAACAATACCCGATTGTTTCTCTCAAATCCGGTCACTAACACACGACCTACCACCGGAGACCCGATCGTCCATCTCCCCTAAGTGTTTGCATTCAACAATCGCCACCCAACAACATCGAAAAACGGTTAAATTGAAAAAGATCCGTTTGCGACCCGTTTTGATAAACCCGGAACAATTGGCCAATCTAGGAAGAATTGGGGTCCTAACCACCATAGAACTTCTTCTCTCGACCTTGTGAATTAACCGATGTGCTTGAAATCCCGAGACAACGTCGGATTCATCGTCGGTGAAGAAAGGAGATTCGGTCGGATCTTTGGAGGCTTCGATCTCCCTCCTTCGGCGTTATCTCCGGTTGAAACCACCACCATTGGAGTCGCCATGACCAGATCTACAAGGCTAGGTGGTCCACGCGCCCGAACGGTCATCGAAAAGCGAACGATCACTTGACGGTGACTCTTGACATTTCGGGGGCATTTTTGTAATTTTATAATATAGGTGAATTTTGGACTTGTTTGATTTATTTTATGTGTTTTGTAGCCTTTTTTTTTTTTTTTAAACATATGTATGTTAGAAAATTTGAAGATACATAGTTGTGAAATTTATTTTAACATGAGATTTTTTTTATGATTAAAATATTGGATCAACGAGTCTCCTATTTATTAAGGACGGACGATGATTTCGATATATTTAATTTTTTTAAATTTTTTTAGTTGATTTTAGTTAATTAAAATTTTAAAGTTTTTTTTAAAAAATAAAAAATAAAAAATATATTTTTTCGACGAAGTCTCATATCCGATAAGGATCGAAGTCACAAAAAAACGTCCATTTTGTTTTGTTTGACAAAGTCTCCTATCCGATAGGGATTGACGTCAACAAAATTCATTTGTTTAATCAAAATGTACTCCGACACACAGGTTGTGTCAAGGCTTAAAGTGGATCCGATGCTTAAATCGAAATGTCGCCCGACGAAGGGGACCAACGATTGTTTCAATATGATGCCACGCCCAAAACTAAAAAGTTCAATTTGTCTTAAAAAATAAGAGTTTAAAAATCAGAAAATAATTTGACGTAAATAAAATATTTTAGGAGATAAATTTAGAGTTAAACCGGACATGGTACCTTTTGTCCGGAAAGGGTGCTTTTGGGTGGTCGATATCTTTCCAAAAGCATAAACAACTCCTTACCATAGAATCTCCGAACCGATTGTCCGTTTTAGGTTCCTAGTTCCTTTAATACTAGGTGATGACTTCAAACTCCGTAAATAAACTTCTAAATACCAATCTAATTTTAGATATTTTTAGAAAGTCCCGTCCGACGTTGGGTAGTGACATTTGGATTGAAGAAGCTCCCCCTCCATCATGACTTTATATTGAAGAACTCGTCATTCACATTCTTATTGATGATATGACATTCTATGTGTTAAAAGATATTAAATGAAAGAGAAAAAAAGTTAAATTAGCTGAATTTTTCTTTGAATTTTAGTTCATTTGAAATTCAATTTCTATACTTCTAATTTTGAGCTTGATCTCTTTTAATTTTTTTTTTAAAATTTAGTTCAAGTTATGATTTTCAACTATCACTTCGTCTTTAAAAAATTCAATTCTTGCTATTTTGAACCAATTTTTTGCACACACATCCAGAAAAATTCAATCCAATATTTTAAAAAAATTCATAATTTTTAAAATTAGAAAGTATATGTGTTTATTTTTCGAACATTAAAAATGTAAACAAATCCGGAAATAGAAAATAACCTAAAATAATCTTAATTTTTTTAAAAAAAAACTCCAAATAAATTTTATTAAATAATTTTGATTATGTAACTATTTATATGACTATTATTTCTTATAATAAAACTAAAAATTTGACTAAATTTAAAAAAAATTCAAAAAATATGAAATCTGAAATTAAAAGTTCGGACATTGATTTTCGAATAGACTAAAGGTCATGAGAAGTTTGACCCATTTAGGAAAGGAAAAAAACATATAATTCATTCATTAAAGGAGGGATGATGATATGCCAATATATATATATATATATATATATATATATATATATATATATATATATATATCTTAAATTATGTTATAAAAAAAAAATACACAACAAAACCCTAATAAATGTAGAGATAATAATGATGGAATTAAAAAAAAAAAAAACAAAGAGAGAAAAAAATGAAAAGGCGATGAAGAGGAAAGGAATAGAAAAAAGAAAACGACCTATTGAAATAATTAACAAACGAGATACTTAGAATCATTTTGAAGAACGGTAGTTTTGAAATTTTTAGCACTTTACATATATAGGTAGGACTTGATTTCCCAAGAAAACATACAGCTAGTTGAGTCGTTAGTCATCTAGCAAAGAAAATTTTATTAAAATTTTATGAAATGAGAGAACAAAGAGTCCAAAACTAGTGAAAAACAAATGACTCTTAGCTAGCTAAAATAGTAAAAGATTCCTCTTGACCTCAGGGTGGCCAGCTCCCCCACCTGCCTCCTTGGACCTCCACCAATACATATGTAAAGTGTATAATGTAACAACTTATTTTTTTGACACAGCACTGGAATCAAGTATCTCTTTTTATACCGGCATGTTGTCAACAGGTTTTTTTCCCAATGATTTATAGTCCGAAGCTAATTCTACGTAAAAAAGCAAATATTTTTTTCAAGAAATTCTCTTATATATATATATATATGTATATATATATATATATATATATATATATTAAAAAGGTTATTAATAATTACACTAAAACAATTATACTTTCTAAAAATATTTTTTTTAAATTGTATTCAGATTTTTTTTATAAAATAGATTTTAATTAAAGATATATTTTTTTTAAAAATACAATACTTATCGTTTTGATCTCATTGATATTTTAAAATTAATATAAATAAAAATAGATAATTGCTGTATTTTATTAAACTTTTGAAGAAAAATTTCAAGCAAACTTCCGTAAAAGATGATTGTACATATTATTTATTCTCTCATCGTTACTTTTTTTCCCCTCCCTCTCATTTATCAACACTCGTCGTCACTTTGGCGCACAGTCTTTTTAGCCTTTGTACATTTTATGAAAGAGTAACAATATAGCATATGTAAAAAGAGTGGGGGGGGGGGGGGGGGGGGGTGTGGGACAATTTAACTTATAAGGAAGATATGATAAGTTGGGATTTAGTTTCCCCATTCTTGCGCTTTAACATGCCATCAAGCTCCTCGACAAATTTGTCCATCGCAGGAGCTGGCAAGCAAAATGGGATCATAACCCCATTTTCTCCTTTCTTATTTGTAAATGCGTTGTAAAAGCTTGTCGCTCCAGGGATGGCCCCACCTCCACCTCTAGCAACCCCTGCATACACAGCTTTTCCCCACCCGAAATCAACCTCTTGGAACCCTGCACGTCTTAAGTCCGATACCACCAAGGCCCTTACCACTGTAAATTGAGGCCTTCCCTTAATCACCATCAAAGATGCCACCGAACGAATGTATTCCTCGGTTACATTTTCCTTCGCCTTTCTTACCAATTCCAGGGCATAACCTAGTGGATTTCGAGACAGCTCTCCAGCAGCTGCCACTGCTGCCGGTACAACAAAACTGTTACCATAGTACCCTGCTGGTAATTCTACAAGGTTATATTTTCCACGTGCATTGACAGTGCACATTAAACGCATTTCTTCACTTGCCTCTGGCTGGACTGCAATTGTTCGATATTTCCAGAGAAATGCAGTTAATATTTCAAAAGTAGTAGAGCCATGGCTTAGGTCAGGTGGAACCAATTTTCTAATAGCAGATATTTCTGAAGGTCCAAAGAAAAATGAACGGTGGACCATTTCATGAAGTGGGATCATCGTACCCTTGGTGTCAGGAACTTCATCGTACTCTGGGTGCGAGCATGTAATCCGTGGAGGGTCACGTGCATTGAAGACATGTCTTTCCCAAACAGGTGGAATGGAAGGTGCAGACACCCCAGACGCCATTTCGCCCAAGGTGGTTAGGAATTGGACTATGCCTTGGGCATCGCTCATCGTGTGGTTGAAGCGGAGGGCGAAGATGAAACCACCACACTCAAGCCTGGTAACCTACCAACAATTGCATTAATATTAATGTCAACATCTTATAGTTGAGTAAATTATAAATTAGTCCTAGTTTTTCAAAACAAACTGAATAGTCTCTCTAATTTTAAAAACTAATTAATATTTTTATATATTTTTAAATGGATTAAAGATCGAGATGGTCCTCTACTGTTTTATTTTAATCATATCTTTCTATTAATTTTTTTTAATAATCATGTCTCTTTATTCTTAATTTGCGTCTTAATTTCATCTCTCCGGTCAAATTTTTCAGTAATCATATCAATTCCAACGACAAATTCACATGATGTTGACATATGGTATTTAAAAAAAAAATTAAAAATATTCTTAAAAAATCTGAAAAAATAAAAAATAAAAAAATCCAAAATTCCCCCCTTTTTTTCTTTACATTTATGTACAAAAATAAATAATTAATTTCATCCCTCAATATATATATTTTTTTTACTTTCTCTCAAATTCAAACCAAAATTCTTTTTTTTTTTTTTTTTAAGAATAGGATCAAAGAACATAAGCAATTTTTTTTTCAGAAATTTATTATGAAAATTTATTTCAAATCCAAACCTAAGAAAAAAATTTATGAAATTTTTTTCATAACATAATAATAAGAGCAAGAAGCAGAAAAAAAGAAGGGTATTTTAGGATTTTGTTTTATTTTTATTTTTTCAGAATTTGAGAGAGAGAAAAAAATTGAATATAAGAAATGTTTGAGGAATAAAATACCAACAGTTCACTAACATTTTGAAAACTAAGCTTAATTCAATTTGAAAGGTATTTTTTAAAAATATTTATAAGTAATGGTATATATTATAGATTGGCTTTCGCATGAAATGAAACTTCATCACTTCTTGAACTAAGCTAGTGTAAAAATATATCTAATCTTTCATAGATCATTGAGTTGTCCTTTAGACCAAATTAGTTCAAATTTAATATTATTAAAATATAATAATGATTATTTATTTGTAAATAATAGAAATTTAACCTTCATTTTGATCGAACGACTAGACAATTAAAATTCTAAAAAAATATTGTATTTTTGGATACTTAATTAGAGCTAAACGCTCGATATGGATGAAACATACACGGAGTTGATACTTTGGCCTGCCTCGTCGAGTTCCACCTTGTTTGAAGCGGAGATGATACTCAAAATTTCATGTCGAATGAGGACACGGGATGAGGATGGGGTAAAATTTTTTTAAGCGAGGCGGGGATGGGGATGGCTATCCCCGCCTTATTGCCATCCCTAAATTTGACTGAAAAAAAAACTATGATTTTTTTTTTTTTTTGAAAAACAAGAACGGTACCTTAAAAAATTTATTGATAAAAATAGAATAAAAACAAAGAGGGACAAACCAGCCTATCCCACTAGATGGGAGGACAAGAAGGCCTAAACCCCTAAAAAACGTATCCAAGAAAGTTAAGTCCGCGATATATAAGAAAATTTGAAATACTTGGATCGCTTGTTGCTACCGCCATCGTTAGTGGAAGTACATAATTTTTTTCATGTATCCATACTAAGAAAGTGTGTAGGAGAGCCGAGTCAAATTTCGGAGACATAGCCACCAAATCTTACCTCATATTTAACATATGAAGAAAGATCGGTCTAGATTCTTAATAGACGAGTCAAACAATTAAGGAATAAAGAGATTAGTTTAGTTAATTTTTTATGGAAAAAGCATAACCTCGAAGAGATGACTTGGGAACGAGAGGAAAAAGTGAGAGATAAATACCTAAAATTATTCGAATGAGTGAATTTTGAGGACGAAATTCCTTTAAGGGGGAGAGAAATGTAACCCTTGTAAAGTCCTTAACCATATAAATACGTACAAGGATATTCATACGTAAATACATTGAGCAAGGGTGTGATTTTGTGCCATTTTAATGTTTTGGTGATTTTATGATGCTTGGTGTTTATGTGAGGAATTAGGGGATGAATTTTCAAGTAAGCTAGCTAATTACCATGCATTTTCTCTAGCATATACATACGTGTGTGTGTGTATATATATATATATATATATAGACACACACACACACGAACCTATTATACAAGTGAGAAAGGTATGTTACAATGTGGGGAATGTTGGAAAATTTTTAGGAAGCAAATTACCGAATTAATTCTTTAGGACGAATGGTCGAATTTTTCTATGAAAGAAATGACATGTCCCTTAAACTAAACTAAACTAAGGATTTAGTTAGCTTAATGACCATCTTTAGCAACTAACTAGACACCTAAGCACTTCATTTAATGTAATTGATGACAACTCTACACCTTTGACTTCCAAATTGCCACATTGCCTTCCAAAGTCTCCCTTTACTTTATACTTGGACAACTTAATTAAGAACATGTGGCATACTAAATAATGAAGGCAAATGGAGTATATATATAAGGAAAAGATGAAATTTAGCCATTTTTTTTAGTGAAATTCGTAGCTCACTTGAAAGAAGAAAAAAACATCATTGAGAGGAGAGAAACACGGAAAAGAAAGAGAGAAAAAGAAAGGAATGAAAGAAAGGAGAAAAAGAAGGAAAAAGCTAGGAAAATCCTTAACAAATCTAAACTAAGTAAGCGGGTTTTTATCTATGCCATCTATTTGATTTTTAAATGTTAATTTATGTAATTGATTAAGCTTTTAATTATGTTGTGTTGTGTTGGATGGCTTGGCATATAAATGTTGGTTGTTATGGAATATGAAATGCATGATTGATATATTGCTTATTAAGTTTGGAAAGCCTTGTGCATGGCTATGTTTGTGTATTGATAGGTTTGATTGAAAGAATTGGGGCTTGATCAAACCTTGGTGGAGTAAACTAAGATGGATATAAACTTGGACAAAGTAAAACAGGAAGGAAGAGAAATTAAATTTTAGGGTTTTTCCTAAGGTGACTTTCGGCCAAAATGGGAAAGATGGTACCTTTTTGATACTTAAGGACTTAAATTTTAATAATGAAAAAAATTAAAAATATTCTTAAAAAATCTGAAAAAAAAAATTCCAAAATTCCCCCCTTTTTTTCTTTACATTTATGTACATAAATAAATAATTAATTTCATCCCTCAATATATATATTTTTACTTTCTCTCAAATTCAAACCATTTTTTTTTTTTTGAAAATTTATTTCAAATCCAAACCTAAGAAAAAAATTTATGAAATTTTTTTCATAACATAATAATAAGAGCAAGAAGCAGAGAAAAAGAAGGGTATTTTAGGATTTTGTTTTATTTTTATTTTTCAGAATTTGAGAGAGAGAAAAAAAATTGAATATAACAAATGTTTGAGGAATAAAATACCAACAGTTCACTAACATTTTGAAAACTAAGCTTAATTCAATTTGAAAGGTATTTTTTAAAAATATTTACAAGTAATGGTATATATTATAGATTGGCTTTCGCATGAAATGAAACTTCATCACTTCTTGAACTAAGCTAGTGTAAAAATATATCTAATCTTTCATAGATCACTGAGTTGTCCTTTAGACCAAATTAGTTCAAATTTAATATTATTAAAATATAATAATGATTATTTATTTGTAAATAATAGAAATTTAACCTTCATTTTGATCGAACGACTAGACAATTAAAATTCTAAAAAAATATTGTATTTTTGGATACTTAATTAGAGCTAAACGCTCGATATGGATGAAACATACACGGAAGGGATAGATGAACCACATATGTGACTGATGGAATTTTATTGGTTGGAAACTTAATTAGTCACTTTTTCTTTACCATCAAACATTAAAACAAATTTTCAAACCTCTACTTTTTATTTTATTAATCTCTAGTTTTTTTTTTTCCTCAAGTAACAAAACTTGTCTCTGAAAATGAATATATAATGTTAAAAATATTTTAGATATTAAGCGTTAATTTGGCGAACCTCATAAAATTTATAATATTTTAAATGATTAGTTTTAATTTTTTTTTAAAAAAAAACTAATCAATTCGTTGTGTCTCTAGAGAATAATTTGTAATTTACTCCGTTACCCACACATCATACATATGGATGAGGAAACTTTTAGTGAGGATAATTACCTGAATAAGCAATAAAGGGCAGTCTAACATCCCACTGGAACCAGGGACATCAAAGAGTAGCTCCTCCAACCAAAAAGATGGAGGTGGAAGTGCATCGCCTAACTGCTCAAGTGTAACCTCGGCATCAGCCTCAATAAACAAGATACCCTCACCAGTGCACTCCACCATAAGCTTGCGATTAGGCCCTTCCTTAAGCCTACCAGCAAATGGATAGTAAAACACTAGTGTTTTAGCAAGTGCCTCTCTAATGACCTTAACTGGGTCCTTCCCTTCCATAGAGGGATTGTTGCGATAAAATTGCATGACTGGAAATTGGAATCGGAGACCTTCTTGATCATCAATGTCAGATAATAGTTTGAACTCATGAGGGGTGGGCTTGGCCGGTTTGATTAATTCGGGTTCACATCTGTTAACCTTTAAAACTACGAGGGAGGTGGCTAGTGATTGCATGGTGTCTACAGTTAAATGATTTTGTGATGGAAATGAAGCCAATATGGCACCAACACGCTATAATAAGCAAGACAGAGAGTGTGGGAAAAAAATATTTGGTTCTGGGGGATTATTCTTGAGAGTGTTGTGTATTTATCATTAACAAGAGGCTAGCTTGTGATCATAGAGACTCTGAATTTGGTCACATTCATGTTTGATTATGTGGCGTATGGTTGTGAATTGTCTTAGTGATTTATAAAAAGAACAAACAAACATAAAGATAAACGTCCTAAACTTAAATTCATGGTTTATATTACTCAATTGATTTCAATTTTTGACTTGGCTCGTTTGCATTGCAATGACAGTACACTGCACTTATATATAGGAAATAAAAAAATAAAAAATAAAATAAAAAAATAGATCAAATTCAATTTTAAAAAAGCAATTTGGAAAAAAAAATTGACAAAAACGAAATCAAAATCTTCAATTGAGTTTAATTTTTTTAATTTAAATTAAATAGTACTTGCTTTAAAGAATTATAAAGAAAACTAAAATAATTGAGAAATTTCAACAGTAATCATTTTCTATTTACTGTAGTTGCAGAATCATCTGCATTGTGGACCGAAACCTGATTCTTTTGGACTTTCGTAGGCAATAATATAAAAATTATACTATATTTTACATTTTGAGTCTTGATATTTTTAAATATTTTATTTCGATCTATATTTTTATTTATTAATACATTTTGGTCCATAGATGTAGAGATGATAAAGAAAAGACGAGAGAGCACTCGGCCAAGTTTATATATATCTGATTGTATTGTTTTTATCATTTAAAATCTATTTCTTCAATTATTTTTTTCTTATTAAAATTCTCATCAAATTCGTTTTTTAATTTTTTAATATAATTTTATTTGTTAATAAATTTGGTTCTTTTATATATGGATTTTGGAATAAAACTTTAGACGTGAGTGTTTTATTTTTTAAAATATATTATAATAATTTATACGATGAATTAATTTTATGATTATTAAATAAGAGTAGTATAGTTGCATATATATATATATATATATATATATATATATATATAGAGAGAGAGAGAGAGAGAGAGAGAGAGAGAGAGAGAGAGAGAGAGAGAGGAGTGTGTTTTAGATAATTTGACTCAATTTTTTAAAAATTAATATTTAGTTAAAAAAAATTCTCGGGTTTTATTTGTTAATATATATATATATAATCAGAATTTATTGGGATCAATTTTGCGGTAGTTTTTATTTTAATCTATTCACTTCTCTATATTCCATATAATTTAGGTAGTTTTTATTTATTTATTTATTTTATATACTACGAATATGCTAATGTGTGTGTGTGTGTATATATATGTCATTAGTTTGTTAGAAATTAATTATATATATTCACACATAAAATCAATTACTTGTTATTTTTTTCATGTTATAAAATTTGTATTTTTAAATAAAATAATTTAAATAATATTTTGAAAGAACTTTCAAATTATTCAAATATAAATACTTATACTAATATTATTAATTATTTTGTTAATAAATATATATAAATCAAATAATTTTGTTAAATATATAAATTCAATTTACATTAATCACAAAAAACAGGACTACTACTTGCATCACACTATAAGATTCGTTAACGTTATATATGTAATTGTTATCCGATCGCAACATAACGTCGATATCTAACTAATTTACTTTTATATAAATAGATAAATAGTCTGACACGGAGACATGGTCACTCGTTAGTATGCATATTTATGTGAAACATGTAAAGCATGAAAGTGTAAAGTCAGGTTTAACTCGCATATGCGTTGTGTTATTTAAAATGTGACGCGTATGATAGTTAAATAGTTTAATAATATATTTTATGTCAAATCTGAATATTATTTGTTATATGTAAGGAAGATTGGGCCATTCAAATAATATTCGATAAATCTTCAATACGTTAGTAACTAAATTACGTAATTTTATGTTATAAATTTAAAATTGACAAATCATAATAAAACAGGGGGCAAAATTTATTAGGACGGTGTTTAATTAGTTAGGATTGTCACCATCAGATTTCAAGATTCCAAGAGATCCGCCACCTCTGATGGATTCCATGGCAAGTGGCAAGACTTTATGACATGCAAAGCAACTTGTTTGGTGAGCACATTTCGGTCCGTGCCAAGCACGTAAAACATCAATGTGAGAATTGATGTTCAACTAGCACCTAGGAAATAAAAATACATAATTTAATCATTGTGTATTTTTTTTTTTAAGATAGCACATTCGAGAATTTTATTTATTTATTGGGTTATTATAAAATGAAAAAAAAATTACTCTTACTATATAGTCCAAAACTTATGAACGTCTTGACAAAAAAAAAAAAAAAACATGTGGATAGTGTTTTGTAATAAATCGGGCACTAGGTCTATTATTTCAAATTTTTACCCTATTTATTACTATTTCGATCTCAAATTGATATTCTGTTTTAACTTTTCATCCGGTTTAAGAAACTTATTAATTATAATATTTTTAACAATAGTTGCTTAAAATATTAATTTTTGTTGAAGAAGAAAATCTATCTAATTTAATCTAGCATTGCAAAATAGGAATATTTTAAAAAGTATAATGTTAATTTTTTTGACAAGACAAATATTTTAGAAAGATAGACAATTGAAACTGTTGGAGTAAAAAAAAATAGTTTGTATAAATCTGTTAAGAAATTATTTATAAACTCAGCAGATGCTTGGTTTATCCGTTAAAAATTATTTATCAAAATCTTTCATTTTTAGTCTCTAAATGTTTCAAAATATTTATTTATGGTCTTTAAATTTTTTTAAAAAATTTGATTCTTTATTTATAATTTTTTGGTCCTCATAGTTTTCATAAAAATATTTAATCTTTATTTTATAAAATATGTGCAATTCAGTCATTTGCACGTGTGGCACTATCTCTTCACGACACCGAACTTCGCTTAAAGTGGTCTAGGCTCGTTTTACCAATTTGACAAGGGATGATAATTTGGCCTCGCCTCGTCGAGTTCCACCTTGTTTGAAGCGGAGATGATACTCAAAATTTCATGTCGAATGAGGACACGAGATGAGGATGGGGTAAAATTTTTTAAAGCGAGGCGGGGATGGGGATGGCTATCCCCGCCTTATTGCCATCCCTAAATTTGACTGAAAAAAAAACTATGAATTTTTTTTTGTTTTTTGAAAAACAAGAACGGTACCTTAAAAAATTTATTGATAAAAATAGAATAAAAACAAAGAGGGACAAACCAGCCTATCCCACTAGATGGGAGGACAAGAAGGCCTAAACCCCTAAAAAACGTATCCAAGAAAGTTAAGTCTGCGATATATAAGAAAATTTGAAATACTTGGATCGCTTGTTGCTACCGCCATCGTTAGTGGAAGTACATAATTTTTTTCATGTATCCATACTAAGAAAGTGTGTAGGAGAGCCGAGTCAAATTTTGGAGACATAGCCACCAAATCTTACCTCATATTTAACATATGAAGAAAGATCGGTCTAGATTCTTAATAGACGAGTCAAACAATTAAGGAATAAAGAGATTAGTTTAGTTAATTTTTTATGGAAAAAGCATAACCTCGAAGAGATGACTTGGGAACGAGAGGAAAAAGTGAGAGATAAATACCTAAAATTATTCGAATGAGTGAATTTTGAGGACGAAATTCCTTTAAGGGGGAGAGAAATGTAACCCTTGTAAAGTCCTTAACCATATAAATACGTACAAGGATATTCATACGTAAATACATTGAGCAAGGGTGTGATTTTGTGCCATTTTAATGTTTTGGTGATTTTATGATGCTTGGTGTTTATGTGAGGAATTAGGGGATGAATTTTCAAGTAAGCTAGCTAATTACCATGCATTTTCTCTAGCATATACATACGTGTGTGTGTATATATATATATATATATATATATAAATATATATACACACACACACGAACCTATTATACAAGTGAGAAAGGTATGTTACAATGTGGGGAATGTTGGAAAAATTTTAGGAAGCAAATTACCGAATTAATTCTTTAGGACGAATGGTCGAATTTTTCTATGAAAGAAATGACATGTCCCTTAAACTAAACTAAACTAAGGATTTAGTTAGCTTAATGACCATCTTTAGCAACTAACTAGACACCTAAGCACTTCATTTAATGTAATTGATGACAACTCTACACCTTTGACTTCCAAATTGCCACATTGCCTTCCAAAGTCTCCCTTTACTTTATACTTGGACAACTTAATTAAGAACATGTGGCATACTAAATAATGAAGGCAAATGGAGTATATATATAAGGAAAAGATGAAATTTAGCCATTTTTTTTAGTGAAATTCGTAGCTCACTTGAAAGAAGAAAAAAACATCATTGAGAGGAGAGAAACACGGAAAAGAAAGAGAGAAAAAGAAAGGAATGAAAGAAAGGAGAAAAAGAAGGAAAAAGCTAGGAAAATCCTTAACAAATCTAAACTAAGTAAGCGGTGTTTTTATCTATGCCATCTATTTGATTTTTAAATGTTAATTTATGTAATTGATTAAGCTTTTAATTATGTTGTGTTATGTTGGATGGCTTGGCATATAAATGTTGGTTGTTATGGAATATGAAATGCATGATTGATATATTGCTTATTAAGTTTGGAAAGCCTTGTGCATGGCTATGTTTGTGTATTGATAGGTTTGATTGAAAGAATTGGGGCTTGATCAAACCTTGGTGGAGTAAACTAAGATGGATATAAACTTGGACAAAGTAAAACAGGAAGGAAGAGAAATTAAATTTTAGGGTTTTTCCTAAGGTGACTTTCGGCCAAAATGGGAAAGATGGTACCTTTTTGATACTTAAGGACTTAAATTTTAATAATGAAAAAAATTAGGTTTAATTAGTCATTTTGAACAAAAAAAGAAACTTCATATAAAACTAAAGAACATTTCTTGCAAAATTAAGAAACCCATTCGGCCCAAACTTAGAAAAATGGGGTTTTGGGTTCCCTTA